AGTCACAGTATAAAGGTCGGTGCAGATTTAGAAACAAAATCTGATGCAGAATTGGTTTTGATTGGGACTAAACAGGAACTGGTATGACTTAAAATTTCATTTCCGTAGTTTATAACAGAAAATTTGAATGTAATTGCACTGTTCCATGTACTAATTTGTGAGTGGTTAAACACCGGCAGTACTTGGCGCATACTCTATTGCAAAGGTAAATTTTATATTCTTTCAATACGGTACTGTGCAAAGGCCCCCTGTGACGGAGTTACACCGTCCCGGGCCGCAGACAGCTGATCTGGGCGCATACACGCACCACCACCATTAGTTTCTACAATTACCGTGGTATGGTGTTCCGGGGTTCAAATAGTGGGTTTGCGCGCGCTTGAAAGGTCACGTGAACTGCATTATTTGAATTTCTTTATTTTTTTTCCTAGGAAAATGAGAAATCTGTGCAAACATTCATGGAAATACAGTTTTTAACACTTGAAAGTCAATCTTTGGTGTGACCACCTTTATTCTTTACCACAGCCTGAACTCTCTCAGCAAGCTTTGTCATAAGTACTCCTCGGGAATAGTTGTCCAAGATTCTCAAGTGACATTCAAACTTTTTCCTTGGATGCTAAGTGTCTTTTGTTCTGTTCCATCTCAAGTTGATCCCACACTGCCTCATTCATGTTGAGATCCAAGTTCTGTAGGGGCCAATCCATGTTTTTCTATCTAGGCATGTTTTGACTGCAGTGACAGTGTATTTGCCAATCAGATGTTTTCCAGATAGTAGTGCATGGTAGATCAAAATCTTACCATACCTTTCTGCATTCATAATTCCATCAGTTTTGACAAGATCTCCAGCAACACTGGCTGAAATGCAGCCCCAAACAATGACAGTGCATCCACCGTGTTTTACAGATGGCTGTAGATACTCACTGTTATGGTTTTGGCCTGACCTGACCTCCATAGATACTGGCGATGATTTGAACCAAAAATTTTAAATTTGGATTTTTAAGGACACACTGCACACCATGCTGAGATGTGTTAAGCTGTAAGATGATCGCTCTTTGGGACTTTGTTGTTACAGACAAGATACGGTCTGTGAATACTGCATTCTCCTTGTGTGCAGATAACTGAGGACTTTCGCACCCCTTGATTGAACTTTTTAGCTGTGTCTCTTGCTGTGACCTGAGTCTTAATCATTTCAGGTTTTCTTTTTAGTCTTTTTAGCACAATCTCAGTTTTACTTCATCAGAAAATGCTTACTGTCCTCAGGAAAAACAAAAACCAATGCTACAACAACAAATCTTTAACCAGACCTTTGGGGATGTTCCAGTGAACACAAAATGTGTTACAGAAGTTCTTTCTGTGTACATCTATTATGCTAAAAGGACCACACCATTTAATTACCACAACTAAGTATTTCTGCACATATTGAACACAGGTGTATTTCTTGAGGCAAAAGTGGTCGCACCAGATTTCTTTTTTAAATTTTCTTTTTTATGAGGGCTCAACAAATACCTTGCATCCTAAGAAATGTTAAATGTGTGCTGTCAGGCTAATTTGCAAGGGTGCACATGCTCTTCTGTGAGCAACACTGCCAGTATTTCAGTGTTACCTTGCACATGCAAACATGCATTCATGGTCCACTGATAAATGAGACTGCAACATGTGTTCTTAGGTAACTTTAAGACGTCTTGCTGAAATATCATCCCTATGGCTACAATGTGATAGGTAGAGAGGATATAAGCAGTGTGTATTTGTCCTTGTGATGCAAAGAGGCCTCAACACATGGGGAGTGGTGAATCTCCAGCTGCTCCCAATTCTCCCTCATGGGTGTTTTCTGGCCAAGGGTACAGACGGCATGCTAATGTGTATAGCCTCTTGGTTGTGTGCGTGCACGTGTGTTTCTGTCTTGTCAATGTCTCTACATTGTAGCATGTGTGACATTTGCAGGAAATGAGAGCCACCCTCCTATAGTTGATGAAGACAAAGGGACTGACACTTTCTATAGGCTCGCCGAAGCCAAAATGTTGGAGAACATCCAAACTCTTTTTAAAACTTTTTTCCTAAATGGGTGACAATGATAGATCGCCCTGAACTGGCGCAGCGTCTTGTAAGTAATCTGGAGCAGGGCAACGAAGAGAAAGGGGGAAGCTGGTGCCTCAAAGACAAAGAGCTTGAGCATATGGCAGCAATATAGCACAAACAATAACGCACAAATATCCTATGTGCATGGCACAGTTCTTTAAGATATGGAGATTTTTCCTCAACAATAGCCTAAAACCACACAGACATGCACAAGTGCTGCGCCACAAATAAATGCGGTTTCAGCTGGGAACGCTACGAGATTTTTCCGATGTGGAATTGTGGAAGACCCCACACGTAACAAAAGCTTTCCCACTGCACTCGCACTTGAGCTCACACATTATATACAAAGTAAGATGTCCATCCAGCTCACATTATCTTGCAAGACTTTGACTCTTTATTTACTACAATGCACAGATTAAATACAAAGGGACAAGATTACAAAACCGCCCAAAACCATGGCTGTAAAACCATAATGAGAAGATTAATTGAAGAGTAAAGTGAATTTGATGCGTGTATAATCAGCAGGCACTGTTTGTGCTCATCTGTTACAGTAAGTAGCCGAGCAGTGTTTAGTTCTCACGGGTATCAGAGTTTGCAATTCAATCAGTGGTTAACGCACAAAAGAGACCTGCAGTTTACATCAAATGTGTTAGTTCCAACTTGGCAGATTTCTGAGGTCCTGTCAAAACAATCTTTTCAAAGACTAGAAGTGAGTCAGGTAGGAGTATCTACTGATGTGTGAGAAAGCCACTCTGAACATATGGCAAAACCGAAAGGGTTCAGTCAGGTCAACACTAAGTTGTGCAAGTTTGCATCTCTTCAAATGATAAATCTTTGTCTCCCTCTAGTGGATTTTCTTTTACTTTTACCTAAGCTTACGTTTTTCTTGGATATATGCATATGGTGTAATTCAAACATATGCTGCAAAATTGATAGATTTCTCTGGGATAAATGTATGATTCTGGTCTAGATAAATAACAAATTACTAATTAATCACATCAACTAACACAAAGCTGGAATCACAGCATCATAGGCATCTGTCCAAACAGAGTTAATATTACCCTTTCATGAATACAACACAGTTGTTTAAATGCAACATTTAAACATTTATTTTTGAGTTCTAGAGCCACATTTCAAAGAAAACAGTCAGTAGTTGAAGCACGTGCCAGTGTCATATCATCAACAACCAGTTACATATATAAGCATCCAAAATTTTAATCAGGAAAACAACATACAAGTAGGGGGGGAAAAAAGTTTATGAACTATTGAAATCTTCAGGATTTGTCCTTTAATTTCTCATCTTCACTTTTAGACAAGGATAATCGAATTTACTTAAAGTGCTACAGTAAAATACCTCTTCTCCTGACTTGTCCAAAAGTTACTTGGAGTCAGGTGTTTTAGTTAAGGACATGAGAAAAGAAGTGTTAGTTCCAGACACGCCATTCCTTTAATTTTTGACAACTTTCAACAAACCTTGGAGGGTAGAAAAAAGACATTATGATTCATACAGCAGAAAGAGCCTATAAAAGAATTTCTGAACACCAGCTGGATAATCCACAACAGACAGATGAAATGATAGTTGAATTTTTTGGGAGAGACGGCACGACAAAGAGAAAAAAGCCGCACAACAACACCAGAACTTATTTCTAGCTGTTATGCATCATAATGGAGGCAGCAGCCCATAACCTGAGCATAGGAAAAGTTGGGTAATACCAAAAGCGCATAACTAAATCACCCAAAAAAAATCTCAAAAAAATGAATGAAATTCAGGTTATGGGATGGTGAGGTCAGATTTATGGCCTTCATCTAATTGACATGCTGTCTCATGACCTGAAGACAGCTGTTAAGTCAAGCTGTTCCAGAAGTACCAACGGTGGCCCAATATTAAATTTCACCGTTGTTCAAATTGTCATGAACATGAATAAAACATGTGCCGGAGCTGTATAATATTATATTACAAAATATATTTTCTGGTGAACGGTTAAGTCAATAGGTTTAATATTCTATATACCTGAAGAGAAATATGTGGCAGAGTCGTTTAGAGAGCAATTACTGCTCCCCTTCTCATGCTGATCCAGTGTGCGTGGTGTGAGCAATCACAGAGGACGGAGGTTCAGAAGACAATGAGATTTGTGTGTTATTGTAATGAAGTTGAGTTCAGGCAAACACCTGCAAGCACTCAGTAAAAGGTCCACACAGCGTGAATAAAAAGTTCCGTCTGTCCTCGAGCCGTTGTTCATACAGAGAATGCATGAAAAGCTGGGACTAGTTTTACATAACTGTTTGTCCATTATTAGTCTTGTCAAATTGTCTTGGCCTATAGCTATGACTGGAATAGCTGAAACCAGTTTAAGAATATTAATTGTGAAAGTCTAGCAATTCCAAAAGGGTTTCTCAAATCCTGCAAGGTCCCTTTACAGAAGGTGGAGTGCTGAGAATGGCGTCATATTTTGGTAGAAGATTTAAATAGCCTGAAAGAGAGACAGCCATTTTCCACTGTTTAGCAACTAAAACACCTATATTATGGTGGCTATATAACAAAGACAAGGAAAAAAAATAGGGTAGCAAGGCATATAATAGGCAGCAAAAACAGAAGGAACCATATTCTTTGATTCACAGATCACTCATATTCATCACTGTAAAGCCACTGGGGGGGGGATTGGCGTCTGAAGTGAGGAACGGCATATAAAAACCAAAAGCAATCAGAAATATTAATTAATATTATACTATTAATATCAGCAGTATTAAAGGCTTAAAGTTCACAAAAGATGAACAGTTACATTTTCCATCCTCAAATCAAGTTACCTATGCTGACCACTAGATGGAGCTCTAAATTCAGAGATTTAGCAGCGTTTACAGAAAATTATCACTTTCTTAAATGGAATAAAATAGTTTTTTCTTCTTTGTAGCCATATATATGAGCATTATTGATACTGCAAAGTTTATTTTGATTACCATCACTCAGCCAACGTGTTAGAATTAAAGACAAAGCTACAAATATAAACATGACTCCGTTCATTTGCTGCGGTTTATCACAGTGTATTGACAGCTCACTTTCAAGACTTCAGGCACTGAATTTATACATAATTATTTACCAGTAGAATTATGTAAGAGGCACATTGTGTTTACAAAAGACAGAAACACACACATAACTTTCTTTCTTTGTACTCTGTGCTCTTACTCAGCCGATTCGACTTGGAATTATCGAAACACTCCTATATAAATCTCCTAATTAAAAACAATTAAATTCGCACCCTCATGAGTTGCATAGAATACCACACAACTTAAGTCTTTCCCTTTTTTAGTCATGTTCAAATTAAAGCATGCAAAAACATCCAGCCTAGACCAGGTAACAGAAACTCATGAGCCTAAGTTTCTATCGTGTGTGTCCAACGCTTAGATCATCAGATCACAATGCAGGGATTTAAAGTTTGGTTAGGTGTCAGCAGGTCATGCTCCATCTGTTGAAGGTGGTGTGCAGGGGCCACGTTGTGCTCAGTAAGGGTCCATCTTGATCCTTCTGTACAAGCAGCAGGTGAACACCATTCCACATATCTGAAAACAGGAAGTGTTAGGTCACAGACTGCAGTTTAGTCGCCATGGAAAACTGCAGGAAGCTTGAATGCTACCGACTGTGGGGCAGAGAAGGTTTAAAGGTGAAGGAGTTAGAGACTGCTGGAAAGTATGAAGCTGGTTACTAGGGAGTGTCAGGAGTCAAGCAGCCAATATTTCACCAAAACGTGTGTGCACAGGCTTCCATAAACAAACTATATAAAGCTGGGTGAAGTGAAAAAGCAGATTAATGCTCTTACATCTCAATATACTGTTTTTCCTCTTTGCAAAAGCTCTGGGGACCTTTTTATTTTACTCAGACACACAAAACAAACAGATTACCCCCAAAATTGTTTTGTGTACTTATTTATTTACTAATTTATCGTCTCCCTGTCTCTGCTTGGTTCAGCTGGTTGTGTTTTTATTGAGTTACAAACTAATGTGTTGTCAACAGGGAATTTGTAGACTGCCCCGTGCTGGAGAAACTATGCAATATCAGTCATAACATGGTTGAAGGGTGTTTCTCTCGTATCTTCTTAAGATTTTAAACTTTCATTTATCGGCTAATATAAATGTCGAAACCAATAAATGTCTATACCGACCAGTAATATTAGTCCCAAAATAAATTTAAATAATAATAATAAATAAAAGGCTTCCAAAAATATCACTATAATAAGGGAAAACAGACCACAACAATTGTGCTAGTATTTTAAATGAAGCTTTTTACATTTAGAAATTTGCTGTCATATCTGACATCAGTGTAAACACAGAGCTGTATGAAGAAAAGAGATGCACAGGCATTGTCACTGGTGACTGCTACTGGCCTATCAGCAAACTAGACATTATATCGATTACGTGCATTACATCTTAAATATTCAAACATGGCATAATGAAGCATATCTGCATCTTTTATCAGCTGAACTGTTGTAAACATCCTTCTCAGCATAGAATTTCACCAGCAGCGAATTCCTAATAAGGAATGAGCATGTCTAAAATTACTACTACACAGCACCGAGCAAAAAGTCTAAAAACAAAGCAGAATAAGGGAAGCAGGAGCTGACCAAAGCCGCTGGGTCTACAAGCTTGATGGCCAAATAGGCAAGTGTCCAGATTCCATTTCTGTGCCTCTAAAAGCTTCCAGAGGAAGCCTGATCAAGGAAGTCAGAATTTAATATTGACTCATAATTTCTCCTCGAGCAAGGTTTTGTTTTCCTCTCTCGTCTCAACCATCAGTGACAGTTATGCACAAGGATAGAAGATGCAGTCATTTTGGCTGAGGGAACATAAGGTGAGAAGGAAAAAAAAAAAAGGAAAAAAGCCACACTGTTTTTTTAGTTTTCTTGAGGCCTAATTTCAGAAGACGCTAAAAAACAATGATGTAACAGTGTTAAAAAGTAAACTCATTAGAGACAGGAACATGCCATCTCGTGGGATGGCAAAAACAGATATCTGGACACTCCCAAACAACTCCGAGTCCCAATTCAATGATGTTCATGAAAGCCCAGTCTATTTTAGATTGCAAGTAACTATAGCAACAACACTAATGCTTTTTTTTCTGAGTGGTAATGTAATAGAAGGTGTCAGCATATTAAATAAATAGGTGTAATAAGTGCAGCAGCTACTCTGTAAATTTTTGTAATTTTTAAAAAGAGTCTATTAAAAGTAAGCATGTTAATAATTTCTGCGTTTAACTGTTGTAAATATTCGATTAAGTTTGTATTGTTGTATACCATATACTCCCCGACACCCATAGTGAAGCCTCATTAATGTTTGGATTCAAGGGATATACAGCAAAACACTGCTACATGCTGTAAATACACCTGTCCCTATGGTGTTTTCCCCACTTCTTGTCAGCGCAGGTGCTACATTGATGGAAGCGTTGCTGCACGAATTATAGATCATGACACTATGAACCAAAGCACAGTGAAAAAGCAAGTGAGTCGTGCTATCCTCAGGATGCATTTGAATAAGCTGTCACATCCTCATCACCCACAGCAACACATCATCACAAAATGCATAGCAACAAACTGGAAAACGTAGCCAAATGCAAAGTCGCTGCATGCTTCACGACGAATTAAACATGTTAATCCAGTAAACATGCAGACAGCAGGTCTCGCATTTAACACAAAACAGGAAGCCACGCAAGGACAAATAGGCAGTCAAATATGAAATATCTACAGTGCCCTCCAACCTTGCCTCTCGTTTAGATTAAACCAGCAGCGCTCTAGAGCCAAATTACAATGCACCAAAGTCCTCTTCCTCTTCTTTATAGAGCAGATAGATAAAGCAGGCTGTCAAGAGTGCCCCGACCAACTATAGTGGTAACAAACACACACAGAGTACAACACACCAAAGACAGATTAGTGCACACCGACATTAAGACAGACTGAACATTTAACAAAGAGGAGACATAAAGTTGGCCTACATTACGAAATACATGCTAATGAGTGAGAAGTGACAAAATTACACTGTGTACGTCATGTATTCAATATATTCACAATATTTTCAGCACCTCATTTAAATGCTCGACAAAGTCCCTTCAGATCATTTGGTTCTTGTGAGAAAGTCTTTATGTTATAGCCACTGCTAATGGAGACTCTGCTTAAATTCCTTTTACCAACAGCGGTGAGCATCACAGAGACTGCACGGTTGGTCATCTCATCTTTTGCTTTTTGCAGTCTTTATAATTATGGCAGTGAAATCCTGGCTTCATGTCTTTATTCTCAGTCCCCTGGTGCCCAATTAAAACTAAGCTGTATGTAAAGTGGTGGACTTGTCAGTCTTACAAACACCACTGGAAACAATAAGTGGAAATTTGTTTAGTTCTAGGTTGACCTCAAGTTAATTTAAACGTGGTTTGCAGCTACAGTAAGACAGTTTGGTTAGCTGGTAGAAAAGTGCAAAAACATAAAAAGAGAAAAAAAAATATCCTCGGGCTCTGCAATACTAAAAAGCCCATCTTAGACTACATTGAATAGGCAGAAGGACCAAACTCATATAATGATGACAGAAAGAATCGGATGAGATGAAAAGACGTGTCCATTTAGAGGATCCTGACCTGCCAGGGTACATTCAGTAATAGGAGTTTTTTTTCTTCTTTTAATTCAACAAAGGGCAGCATTCCACTCACAAAAGCTAAAAGCAGTTTCTCATTTCTGATAACAACTGGGCTTGTATAAAGCACTGTATGCTCAGGGAGAAGGCAGTAGAAATGCATCCTGCTTCTTCACCAACCATCTGAACTGGGTGTATATATTACTTACCTGCAGACAGGCCACTCCTATCCCCACTGCACCGATAACCAACAGGTGATCTGCAAGGAACTTTTCCAGCTTAGTGATGCAGCCACCCTACAGAGTTAAAATTTACACTAGATTATTAGTTAGACAAGAAAGCTTTGTCTGCATTTCTGCATAGCTATAGTTTAAACTGCTTCAGCAAGCAACAAGACATCCTTCAGAAGTTGTGTGTTTTTACTGAATCTGGGATGTTCTTGATTATTTAAGTACATTTTCAGTCCCTCTTTACTCCCTCAGGCGTATTTACAGGGCTCAAAACACTCACGGTACAAATAAATAAATAAATCATCCCAAACCTACAAGTGAACATAGATACAGTCATCATCCACAAACCATTTTATTTAAATTCTCAGAATATGTCTTCATGCTTATGTCTTTGCACATGATGCAGGTAGCACATTGTGAAGGATAAGAAGAAACTGAGTGATTTGACACGAGAAGGCAGAAGAGCCTCTCCTGTGCAGCGTGGATAAGCATTCAAAACCTCATCTTTTATTCATTTTTCTTAGAGCTCATTCTATCAGAAGAAAGTTTGCTGGCATGTTTTGTGAGTCACTCAGGGCTGCACAGAGCTGCACTGCCTGGCACTGTTGCCTCAACGCAAGAAGGTTCCTGGTTCAAATCTCTTACTCAGCTCGGGCATTTCTGTGCATGTTTAGCCTGTGACTTTCCTCTGGGTGCCACACCTTCCTCCCAAAAACAATTGGGAGGTTAGCAAAAATAATGCCCACAGATCTGACGGCATGAACTGAGGTTTATCTCTGCCTTTTGCCCCTATGTCGACCTTGCAACCCAGCAGCAGTTAGGAAAGTAGATGGATGCTTTTCATTTCAGGAAATGAAATATCAGCCTCAGATATTTGAAAATGGTTTGGCTACAACAGACCAGAAGTGAATAAAACACCAGTTTAATTTCTTCAAATATGGCATGAACCAGAAAAAAAAACCAAAAAAAAAAAACAATGGACTGTGAAGATGAGCAATCACCCTGAACAACTGGATAACACCGATTTCCTTTGATTACTGCCTACACATAGTTATTAGTATACTCAGTGCTTCCATCTCTTTTTTCTGTCTTTAGGCTATCATCACTAATCTTTGATTGCAAAAGCACTCAGTTGATATTTATAACTCAAGTCAGGGATATAGCCAGGTTGCAACACATTTCACAAAACTGTACAAAAGATTATTGTAAGATATAGAACCTACAGGAGGAACTACAACACATTCTGTGTTGTAGCTGCGCAACAGGCAGGCTGAATAAGCCTGCTGTCATTTTGCCAGAAGCATTTATTGCACTGACCTCCACTTTGTAGATGTTGGAGGGGTGGTCCCTCTTTCCACAGTGAGGTGTGATGGTCTTACAGCAGCTGTCAGGTACCGCCCTGCCTTCTGCTTGCCCTGACACAAGGTACTTGCTCACAGTCCAATCATGAGAATTGTTGCTGCCACAGCATTTGAACTGGAGAGGCAGAAAAAGGAAAGCCCAGACTTTAGTTCCACAGTGTGAGGCCATATCCCTCATTCTGATTAAAATATGGTTTCATGTATCATCTAGTGTAAACAAATTCCTAACATCAAGCCACTATATAAATATATTTTCACAGCAGTAATTTTCCTCTCAGGGACTACTTTCGCTCCGGCTGTTCCACTTGTCATCTTTGGAACAATGCTCTGTCTAAACCCAGATAGAATACACAGAGTGATGAGCCATTTCTTCTTCTACATGTCAGCATAATTTTCAGCTTCATATATCAAATTAATTTATAACAAGTACAAGTATACTTAACCGCGCATGCTGAAGAGGGTGAAATACAATCTTACAGAAACTTGAGACCAGAGGAGTTTGTAAATATATTTCATACATCCTGTTGTAGATTGTCAACCGCAAATGTGACTGCCTCCTTTCCTGGCTGAGCGTAGTTCTCTGTCATAGTGTGGTTGAGATGCTGCTTCAGCTCCTCACTCAGCTGGAAATGAGGAACAAAGAGAGAGACAGCAGGCATACACAGTGAGAAACAGTGTGTTTGAAACAGAGAAGGTGGGAAGGCTGGAGGGGTGGGTTGGAGGGGATTATTTTGGGGTAAAAACAAATGTTTTTGTGGTAACCCCCCCCACGGGCTGCTTAATTTACGATTGCGCGTGCGATGTCTACAAAGAAGGGCATTGAAAAAAGTGATACGTAGGTGCAAATAGCGTGGAGGTGAGGGAGAGGATAAGGGGATGATAGATTGGTAGCATTGGGGAGTGCTGTGATGCAGAATACAGATAAACAAGACACTAAAAAAAATTGACTAGGAATACAGCCTTTGATGTCTGGATATATTTTCTCACACTCACACAGGGTGCAGGAAACAATGCAAATCTTTATCTTTAAAGTGATTCTATCCCGTACTGAACCCTCTTCCATCACAATAAATCTGCCCAAAGATTACAAGATGCCCTATGCAGCCCTCACTGACTGACAGCCAGATGTTTGGGCGATAACATAATGCCAAGAATATCCAATGTGTTAGATACACTTCAGAGAGTCATGTCATCAGAGGAGGATCACTGAGGATGCTGCTTTAGAAATCCTTTATTCCTGCTTGGTTCCACGCTCTTACTCGAATGTTCCCTTCTGATTTTTACAATACTGATGTCACTGTATTTTCTTTTATGATAATTGTTTTTAATGAATAATTTATCAATTATTTATAACTTATTGGATTATTAGTCTCTTGATTCACAAAACGCACAGCTGAATTCATTCTTAAATAATAGGCAGCCATCATCTACAGTAATCTAACATCACCCTGTTGATCCTGTAACTGCAATATATAAATGAATTAAAGGATCATCACTGCAGCTGACGTCTGAGCTGATATAAGTGAAAAGACCTAAACAAACCATTTTGACCCTCTTTCACAAAATTTACCCAAGTAGTTTAACCAACTTAACCAGGTTTTGTTGCCTAAAGACTGAAAATTACTTCTCTTTCTTTGCTTGTTTTTTTAAGTCTTCTTTGACACTCTACTACATTTCCATGCTTTAGTTTTATTAAATGCTGCAAAGGGTCATTTTAGACCGCTAGTAGGTCGCCATCAAGCAATATAATGACTTTATAATGTATAATGCATTATTACAGTTTTGTGGATGTAATCATCATGAAAGATTTTGTGAATATAAATGAAATAATGATAACAAATCATCAAATAATAATGACTACATAATAATATTCAATGCAGATGAGATGTACCCATGTGGAAATTCTGGCCGTTTAACTCCATGTAGGTGTAGGAAGAGTCAGCAAATAAACAGATTTTGTGAATTACAGTTTAATTCACCATGATCTCTTGCCTATGAGCCTTTGTTTTCTGGCTTTTACTACTAATTTTTCCCCTATGTTACCTTTCCCAGTCACAAGTTGTCACCACAACAGCCTGACTGGTAATCTGTAATTTTTGCTTCAGCACAGGTCAATCTAATACTAGCAGCAGCCTAACTGCACACTAACAAAATGCAGCTTAGTCAAGGTGAGCCTGAAAGATGTTTCAAATGCCAAGCAAGTGCTCAAAAAAGAAAAAAGAAAGATATGTTCTGTTTATTTTTAGCCTCTGCCCTGTTTCCTCACTGACATCTTGACATCTGAATGTTCAAACTTTTCTTGCAGAACTTTATCTGCTTTGCAAAACGCCTGCTCTTTGATATATACCAAGAAGGGGAAAAAAAAAATCATAATATGTATAACTCAAACCCAAAACATGATTATGATTAACATCCAGTAAATCACAAACAATTCCTATATCTAGTAGTCTCTCTGCTATCCCATCTGTAGTGTATTAATATGAGAAACGCCCCAGCACACTAGTTTGATGATGATCATCTGGATAGAAGTTTTTTTTAACCTCATTTTCCCACGTGCCTGCAGGCATAGATTAGCTGCTGCAGTTATTTCAACAAGGATAAACTGCAGCTTGGGTCATCACTGCACAACGTCACTCAGCTAAACCAGTAAAAAGTGACCACTTACCCTCTGGTAGTATACATAAGCTAGTACTCCGGCCACAAGTTCGATCAAGAAGATAAACAGCAGGCAGATGAAATACTGTGGATGAGAGACAGGACAGAAAGAGAGAGCAAAAAAGAATTTCAGTCAATTTGACTGAACACTCATTAGCTCAGTAGTCGCCTGAAGTATCTGGTTGCTAACTCAAGTTGCTCACGCTTGTGATGGCTCAATATAAACTTTCATCAACTGTCACCGCACTGCATCTGTCACTTCAAACGCAGATGGCAGTCCTGCATGAAATGAGACAACCAGAAAGCAATTTGACAGGCTGTAGAAACCCATTTCTCCTGGGCATCTTTACAGAGCTCCCCACATTACTAGAATAAAGTTTCACTATTTATCATAACTGATGTCTGAAATTATCTTAGAAAAAACAAAACAGTATTAGCACAGTATTCGAGCGTCATCCTCAAATATTATTATTTGATGTTGCCGTTTGCTTAGTATTTGAGCGCTACTCTCAAATACTGTGTTTAGTTTTCCTCTGCAAGAATGAAAAAGAATCAGACATGAGATGGGTGCTGAGGCAAAAAATAAAAATGAGAATAACAGAGGCTTTAACTGTAAGCGTCATTCTTAATGGCAAGCACTGTTGTATGTACTGTTATGCAAACAGTGTGACGAACTGATTGCCCACACAGAGAGTACTTTGATAGACTGCTGCAAAACGAGCAGATCAAAACTCCAGCTTTCCCACACTTAAATAACCCAACTTTTTTATTGTTCATCAGATGGTTTGTACACCCATCAAAACATGGCTCATTCCACATAATTCAAGTCCATATACAAACAGACACATAAACACGCACCTAACAGGGACCAGCTGTCACAGAGCGGGGAAAACAACAGCGTAACTCAGAACCATTATGGAGACACAGATGCTATTGCACAACCTGCTAGATGCACTAAACAAAGTGATTGAAAACTATTGGTAACAAACAGCTGTAAGGAAGAAATATTTAACACACGCACAAACAGATGTTCTTTTTTGTTTTGCAGCTATCGCAGTAATGATGCTGAGCAGAAACCCAGCCTGCTCTGCGTCTCTCTTGGTTACAAGATTGCGAAAAAAGCACTTCAGTCTCTGTGTGCCTGCTACCCACACAAAATGCCAACTTCACACTTCTCTATGCACACAACACTTACTGTACATGCTAGCATCACTCATTATTCTTCCCAAACAAATCTATAAATAGCACAAAAAAGCAGTTGAACCAAACTGCACCGCAGATTCCGTTTCCTCCGCGCATCTACCTCTTCACTCCTGCAAGGCCCTTTCTCTCTCCATCCATCACCAGTAGATAGACAAACCTATAAATAGCCCTGCGGCAGAGAACGTTCACCTCCCGCCTCCTTCTCTCCCACTGGGTCCTGTCTCTGTAAAATAATGAGGACAGCGAGGGCCCCGTCAGAGTCATTCGTCAACATCTAGCGATAGACCTTAGACCAGGCTAAGCATGGATGAGCGCCATCGCATGTTGCCACATTTGTGTACATGTGGGCGAGCATCTAGCTTCTCACAGTGGACAATCTAGAACCACGGACCAGTAGACTATCAGGGCTGTTATTACATAACTTATTATTTATCTTCTGCAGTGTTTCCCTATTCAGTTACATTCTATTTATGCCAGCGTGGGACTGCTGTGCTCAACGAGGAGGCAAGCACACCCATGCTTTCTTAAGTGAATTATTCTATTCTCGTTCACCAGACAGAGTCCGAATCAGTCGTCTTGGACTGTAAGAGTGTTTTCCATCTCTGCAACCTTGGCGTAATGACATATAAAGCCAGTGTGACCACAACACAAGAGACTGTTAAGCTGCTGAATAATGACCAGGGATGCCAAAAAAAAAATGGCCCAAACTGCCTACAAGAAAGGAAAACGTGATGGGAAATGCAAGGGCTAGCTGGCTAAGTGGAAGTGACCTTTCAACATAAAAAAGTGGATTCTCCACTAGCAAATATCGACTCGCCGTCTTGGATGGATGGCAAATTAAGACAAAAATGCTCAAACTCTACATTGATAAGTATTATTAATAGATTTTTTAGGTTTTCCAGATGCAATGTTCTTTGGTAAAATCACAGCAAAATTACTGTCCATGTACACTTTCACGCCCTGCATTGACCATCTGCACTTTGACCTCCTAAATTACAGCAAAAATACCCTTGAAAAAAAAATATGAAAAAAAATATATGATTAACTCTCTCATGCTCATTCTAAAAAAAAAAAAAAAAAAAAACTACACTCCTCTAAACCTTTAAATGTCAAACTGGTAACTGTTCCAAAAGCATGAGTGTTTGCCATCAAAATATATTTTTTGTAAGTTCTGAGTTATGATCTACGTGCGGGTTAATTTTAAACACAGACTCTACATTGAATCCTAAGTGTAAGCCTAACCCACACCTTTACAGCTACAAACAAATGCCTGGACCTAAGCGGAAACCCCCATCTATCACTCTCTCGTCTCTCACCGTGGACAGACAGCTTCTCTGCTCCCGGATGACTGCACAACAGCCCAAAAAGCCTGTAACTACCACCAGGCTGCCAGCTAAGATGAGGGTGTATGCTGACACAGCAAAAGTGCTGGAGGCCAGTAGGCTCAAGTAGTCGCTCTTTGCCACCAGTGTCCAGACGCCCACACCCAGAACAGCAGCTCCGCCCATCTGGAGAAGAATTAAGAGAAGCAGAGAAAAAGTAACAGGATTAAAAAGACATCTGAATAAAAATGTTTAGTGCAGCACGAAGTGTCATACTACAGAGACAAAAAACGCACGAGATATGAAATGTAACTGAATTTAACTAAGTGTACCATGTCAGTTTATTATTAAAGAATAGCAAAACACAAGTACTGTAACATTCAAGCGAAACATTTTTCAGGGCAGGAAGTGATCAATTTAAAGTGAACTCAAAGCTTTTAGATGAGTCACTTAGAAAAAGAAAAGGAAATGGAACAGAGGAAGAGGGCATAAAGGAGGCAAGAAAAAAAAAAGAGGAAACAGAATGAGAAACAGAGAAAAGTGACCATGCGTAACAACTAACAGGAGTGGTGAGACGTCTGCAATCAAGCCAGGGCATAATGACCACTTACTTAGAAACAATACAGAGTAACTGATCCAGGGTGGCTTCCTGATCTCTTTTTCTCATCTTGCAAGTTTCAAAGGAGGGCAAATAGGAAATGCCTGAGAGAGTCTTTCTTCATCCTCCCATCCCTTTCCTTTAGAAGAAAGGACCTCTTACTCACAACACCACATATCCAACCGAGGACCAACCAGTGGGAAATCACCCTTCTCTAACACTGTAAAGACATTTCTTCTAACAACTAAGTTCCACTGAATTACATTTTTTTAAGTTGGCTATCACTTTTTCTGAAAGTAGTTCCCAATACTGTTCTCATATCTCTGTACTATCACTGCTCAAAATAAAATTACCGCCTTAGTATCTGCCAAGTAGTGAAGCTGCACTTTACATCCATGTCTATCCAGACTTAACCTTAAACATCTTACGTAACTCGAAATGTTGCCAGAAATGTTTTACCACAAAAATCTAATCAGTTCATTCTTGAGTCCAAGTGGAAATCTGTGCAAGGTTTGAAGAAAGCAGAAAGCTGAAAACACAATCACACCATCCTCAGCTGTAACTGACAAGGAGGAGGCAGAGTAAAATGGCATCAGGGTGTGGTTCACGCGATCATGTGAGGGGATCACAGAGTAGCTATTTGCCGATATATCAGTACCGACGTTTGTAGCCGTCAATAGATGATAATTAAACAAGAAAAGCAGAGACAGGAGGAACAACCTTCACCCATGTTGAGTATGGATGCTACATAGTTTCACTATCAGAGTGTACTTGTCCACCAGACAGTGTAAATTAATAATCTAAGATTATGTCAATAAATCAAGATTATTTTTAAACTGCATTGGTATATTATCTTAGTAAGGACTCATAAATAACTGTACCTAACATGTGTGAGGGAAACCAGTTCATGTTTACCATTTTTGATAGAAAAAAAAATATCGGCTGATATATAAAAGATTTAAAAATCTCCAAATATCGTTATCGGTCCTAAATATCCTACATCAGAAAGGCTTGACACACTGCATTAGTAATATATTCATATATAATAAATAACATATAAAAAAATCAATTGAAAAAGTCTCTGGCAAGTCAAATTTGGAGGGGAAGGGGAAACACTACGATATACTGCCAAATCTATATTTCATTCTACCCTCAATTAACCAAACAATCATGCTTTAACCGGCCATTAATCACATCAGCTGGATTATTTTCTGAGCACATGTCAAACATTACTTTATTCAATTTTGCTTTAACTAATGATATCTGTGTTTTTGATGACTGCCAATAACAGCGCCGTGAAAAACAGGGACAAATGAGAAATCCCTAGATGATGCACTCTCTTTTAAAAGTAATGTGCTAAGAAAGTGAAAAACAGAAATGGCCAATGCCAGTTCATCCTCACAGAGTATGCACTGCTCCCCCGCCTATGATTAATTTGTGTAGGGGGTGGACAAAAATGCCCTCTTAGAAAAAAGTGTTGCGAGATGGAGGACAGCCTTCAGAGGAAAATGATACTATTTTTCCTCAAGAGACTGGTTGTTAGGTGGCGACAGGGAATTTAATAGAGGCCTAAAGCTAAAGCTTGATCCCTTTTCTCTTTCTAACCTCTCCCACTTACGGATCTGTCTCTCGCTCCTCAAAATCTTCTTTTTTGACTCTGTAAGCCCGGAGACTCTGCACTGATGCTGTAAGAGAGCGGAGCTTTAGCAGCATAAAGTGTGGTGCCAGAGAGCAGGTTTAATACACTGTGTGGCCAGAATACACTGACAAGCCCTAAATAATCTATGACTCACTTTGAACTCAGTCCATAGCTTAGCCTAGGAAGACTGAAAACTTTCCTTAATCCTCTTCCTATTTCTATGTGGCTCTGTATGAGCAATGTCTCTAAAAAAGCAGTTTTAAAGGAACACAGACAGTTTTACAGAGTTGCTATTGATGTTGTCAATGACGATCCAATTCACCAGGAGGTTAAATGTAAAGCTCAGTTATTGTGGTGAGGTCTCTGTGAGTACACATTACTTGAAACTTGAAATGAGGATTACTAGCCACTTACCCAGAAGAGAAAGTTGAAAACAAAGAGCAGGTACTTGAGGCACACGGTCACCCAGTCGTTCTGGTCATCTTTATAACCCACCGACATCTTTTTGTCTTCAGTTGAATTCTATAAGTGCAGATTTGTTTGTTGGAAACATTACATTTTCCTGCAAAGTACTGCTAAAAAATGTATCACAATAAAAAAAAAATCTTACTGTAGTTTTCTTTAGATGTGTTTTTAGCATTTACATTCCTTTCTTTACCCAAAAATAGCTAAACAAGTATTGTTCACACATTTACACTTATCCAGCTGCACATAACTCCCATGTCCCAGACTTCTCACTGCACGACATATTACTAGTTGTTTAGTGATGCAGCATCCAAGGCCCCAATATGACATGCTTTTGTTATATCACAAACCACATCTTTGAATTATCACTAGCACATGTCCCTATGAATCATTAATTGAGCTTCTAGTCTTGGCCCTGTAAATAAAAGGCCGTGGGTGTGGAAAGCACTTAGACCTATACAATTGATCTAAATAGCATCCTTCAGCGGACAGAGCATAAAAGAAAATGTTGCAGCTTTTCTGTCTGCCGGCTCAGGAATAATACACATAATACTGTAGGTGTAGATCTGAGAGGAAAGGTGATGAATAAATCATTTGTTGGGGATGAAAATGAATAAGGTAAACACGCAAGCTAGTAAGCTTGCTAAAGGGTCAGCTTGTCTACAAAGGAAGAAGGAAAACGAAAGGAAAAATTGTCTCTCCATGCATGAAATTTTCCACTTCATTCAGGCTTTGAGATATTCCATCTACCTTTACTCATAAACAATAAATGGGAATGGGGTTTCATCTGAAATATCTATAGCATTTTCTACAATACTTCCGTTATCTCTTGATAATTTACCTTAATTGCCTTGTTTTTAGATTTTATCTGACATGTTGTGGAGCAACAATGCTCCAACAATGCTCTCTCTCTAAAGCATTTGTGACTAATATATGAAGAACAGAAAAAGTAAACATAAAAATGATGAAAAAAAGCATAGGTGTGTCTATAAATAGCAGTGAATCAAGTTTTATTTTGAAGTTTCAATAAGCAGTTACCTTGCAGATTTTGTTTTTTTAATAATTCATTTAAATGTATTAATAAATTATTCTATAGACTATTTGCTTCTCAGCAGCATAACAAGAAAATTATATACGGCTGAGTTGCTGAGTCAATAACTATTATTGATCAACATAATGTATATGCTTCTGAAATGGGTCCATTGTATAGAAGGTGAGAGAAGGTTCCAGATCTGATAAGTAAACCCAGTGCAGAAGTGTTAACATTACTATTCTTTCTTTTTATTTAATTGTTTTTTCGGCCAGTAGGGGGCGACTGTGGCTGTATAAAGACAAGGTTCGTGGAAAATAAACCACTCTTTCAATGGCAATGGAGAAAACTGTATAAATATAAATTTTTAAAAAGGGAATAAAAAATAAATAAATAAAAACACAGGTTTCCATCAAATAAATCTTTTATGATAATTTACCCAGTCCCTGGTGTTCATCTGTACTAAGTATAGTCTGCAAGATCTCTGTTTACTGGGTGCGAAGCGTCCACATTTATATACCCTGGAGGAGGCTATAAACTTTCTGTAAGTCCAGGATTCTCACTACTGACTGATGACAGTGATAGTGAGGTAAGTTATTGAGGTTATCCTTAACTTTTCCTTAAGGTTTGTCATCTTTTTTTCAGGAGACAAAGCTTCAAGTGAGAACAAAGAGCTGTAGGTGAGGGAGTAGAGAGCAGTGGTGGGAGAGTCGGATGAAGAAGAGGAGGAGTAAGAGGCAGATGATGTGGAGATGGCAGAGAGAGTGAGCAGGGTGTATAAAACCCAAAGAGCAGACAAGGAGACAGGGTTGGGAACAGCACAGATGAGTGCCTTTGAACCACCATGTAGTCCAGCTTCTTCAGTCCGGCCCAGTGTGGTTCAGCCACAACCAGTATCTGTGGTCAGTGAGCTTCTTATTAATTTGATTGAGTAACTGATTTTATTTCACAGTAAGGAGGTCCTGGGTTTGAATCCATTGGCCGGCTGGGGCCAAACTGTGTCTAATGTTTACATGTTCTTCCCATGCAATTATGCATTCTCTCCCAATACTTTGCATTCCTCCCAGAGTCCAAAGTCATGCATGTTCTATATGTGTAAGCCCTGCCATAGATTTGCAACTAGCCCTAGGTTCAGCCTGCCAATTGCAATGGAAAATGACAAAAATTGAACAGAGTAGAGCAGAGGAAAATCAAGCCAAGTAGGTGCTAGTGGAAAAGAGAATCTTGTGCAGTTCCACTTTTTACTGTAATGCAATCTGTAGTGGGGCACAGAACACTACAAAAAAACAAAACAAAAACAAAACAAACAAAAACACCCTGAGGTTTACTTTTAACATAGTATTCCCCATGCCCCCCTTATCCTCTTGGTTCCCCTTATGAACCCAAATTTCAAAATATCCTTTAACCTCCCCTGTAAATACAGCCAAGTTTCCTTTCCGTGTTCGTGCCTACTGCAAACTATTAAATGACAAATAAAATTTAAATGAAATTAAACAATTTGCCTGATTTTAGAGCGCCTAAGCTAGCCGTTAACTCTTTCCTAACAAGGCCTTCCTGCTTTTAACAGTCTGTCCAGATGAATTAGGAGGAAACGAACACGGGTCCCCCTTAAAAAGAAAAAAGCCCGGTCTCGGACATTTTAGACTTTAACCTGCGCTGTTGTGCTCCAGCATCACAAGCTACGAATCAATACACAGACACTTAAGTCCTTTTCTGTGTAAGTCAAACTTTCCCCCCCTCTTCTTCAAGATAGCTGTCCTGAAAATCCTGAAAAAATAAATGTCCCACCTGCGTTGCCGATGGCAGGACAAAGTTTAAACACATTATCTCACAGTTGGACAGACAAACAGGCGTTTTCATCTTATATCTGACCACATACTCACCAGACCGACGTTTAAGGCTGGAAAAAGGACCTTGTTTATCTCCGTCTACTCAGAGTCTACGGCACCACTGCAGTGGGCGTTTTGTCCGGTCCAGTCAAGCTTGTTGCTTTCAGGGTGTCCGACAGTCTGTGCGGATGGTGCTTTTGCTTGCAGCTCGTATTTTCGAGTTTCAAGAAAATTCATTACATTGATTTGTAACAAATTGTAATAAAATGAACTCCATATATGTGCAGGTAGACACTAAAACTACAAAATGAATCAATACAAATAGCCTCCATGTTTCAAATACAACAATTATTACTTACAGTGTAGGTTACAGTGAGTTCCAACAATGACCTCTCTACTCACACGCAAAATAAAACAAAGTACATCATTTACTTTGTTGGTACAGATATTGCTGCCGAGTAAAAGTATGATTGTGTAAAAATATTAAACAGTCTGGGTAGTAACAGAAATCTGCATAATAGGCATAGCAACAGGTAGTCAAGGAAGGCTGCAGTTAACCGTGTCACATAGTAGGGAGTGACAGAGAAGGAACTGACTCAATACCACTAGGTAGTCTGAATACCACAGTGCCATTAACAGCATAACCTTGGTTACAATGTAACCACAACCCCTCTGAAGAATTTTCCAATAGGGTGTGCATGAATAACCAAAGACAGAGTCAAAAAAGCATAATTTACTGTGAGCATAGCCTTGGCACATTGGCTTGTTTGCATGCAGGTTCTATTCATTTCTATTACTACAGTTGGATAAATCTGATTAATAATTCTAGTCATGCCACTTAACACATTTCAATTTGCTCTTCATAATGTGAAGTTGACTATGAAATTATTGAACAGACCAACTCTGTGACCTCAAAGAGAAAAATGGAAATTTGGTATTTCAGGAATGAGCCTATCAGCATTAATTTGATTGTCTAGACGTTTTGGGTTTTTTTTTACAATTCAGCAATAATGTAATCACCAAAGAATACAAAAAAAGCAGGGAAAAATAAAGAGATAAAACTGTAAAAAAAAAAAAGGTAAACACCATGGTAATTCTGGTACCCACTTATATCAATGTTAACAACATAAAAACTACCTTACTCCTATGTCACTTCTGTTGCTTTACATCCCTGTCCAACCAGTGTGTTCAGTGATGAGTTTTTATTGTAATGATAAATCTTTATCACAACAAGGCATCCTTTTCTGAGCAAAACAGACTCTGCAGTGGGCTGTTTCCTCTATTTCCGCCTCAGTAATTCAATGTGCTTGCAAGCTTTTAGAAATAGATGGTGGCTGCAGGCCTCGGCAGTGGGCACCTGGACTGGCGACAGTCAGTCTAAGAAAACAGCATTACTTAGCAGAGGATGTCATGAATCAGGTTAGGTTTTCCCCAATAAATATTGTCTAATCAGAGTGTGATAAAACAGGCCATCATCGTCCCATGGCTAGCAACTTGGAGCCTGTTTTCCACTTTCTCATAGGTGAGACATGGCAGAATAAACAGAAATCTGGTTTAGTATTCTTTTCAGTGCCGGACCATTCCCTCTGTGTCCAGTCCCTGGGGTTACTTTATCACCTTTCATGGTTTTGTAACCCACTAAGCTCTCCAGTTCTTTCTCTCACAAAGGGGTAGGAGTAGGTCATGACTGAGTGTGCATGTCAATCACAAACAGGTTAAGGGGAAAGCAAACTTTGTGTGTACTGGTGTGTGCATGTGTGATTATTGCATCCATTCATTTAAATTTCATATTCTTCCTAACCAATTCTTAGCACCAGTTGCTTATCTAGCCTTCTATTCAAGTCATAAAGAGAAGACAAGAAATTTAAAAAACAAGAAATGATACTTGTTTAAAGAGCTACTCAGATCCTACTTCTTATGGCTGACTTCTTGTACCCAGACTGCCACGTGCTGCAGTGTCTGCAGTACAATTCAGGCAGATTATAGGTGCCAAATTGCAAGAGATAAGAGACGTCAAGAATCTTACAGAGTTTTATCAGCTTGTGCTAACCTCGTTGCTATTTTTCTTTGAAGGATTAGGAAAGGTCAGGATGAACTACAAGATTTCCTGGACATGAACTAAGCGGCTGCTGTAGATAAAATAAGAAATTGTTACAGTGAAAGCCTAAGGGACAAGTCTTCCTGCCTCACAAGACACAAGCATACGCACAAAGAACTAGAGGACTAGAGAAACACAAGCACAAAGAAGTAGAGAAACACAAGCAGTGAAAGCAATCTGTGTGTGGGAACTCTGGGACAATGTCAACAGATGGAACTGAGCATACTAAGCAGAGCAACACCATGTAGCATCAGCTGACAGATTCACAACGGAAACAAGGGAGGTTGGAGTAGCCATCAAAAATTATAATTAATCCCAGAGTGGGTTTTTTTTCTTTTTTTTTGTTTGTTTTGTTTTGGGGTTTTTTTTGAAAGCACTCGAGATTTTTAATCTAGCATGGAAAATGTGTGCACACCTTATTCTAGCTTTACAAACCATCTCAGTTGTCCATCAGCTAGCTGGCCTGCGATTCTGGTCCAAGTAAAAATCACAGCTATCAGTGTGAACACTTCTCCATACATGCATTTTCCCAAGAGGACGGATCCGAATGATTTGAGTGATTCGCACACGTTCCATCTAGCACCCTCTGGAGGCTAACGCCTGTGGGTTTGAGCAAACGGTCTCAACACCTTTACAAATGCAAACAATACAATTCTTTAATTTAGTACATTTTACTTTATCCTATATCAGTATAAGGTTTTAACACGTAACCAATTTACTTTAGCCTATAATTTAGAACTTTCGGGGGGCGTTTTAATCCATAATAAATTTACCTACATAAACCCCAAAACGAGCTTCCCAGAGCCCCCTTAGTTAAGTT